CAGCTCCTTCTCGATCGGGCTGGGAGGGGGCGTGGCCAACGTCTCCCTGGGCTTGAACAGGTCAGACACGTAGAACACCTGGAGGAAACAGATGGACAGCAGGGTTAGGAGGAAACGTAGGAAGACTGGGAACAGAAAAAAACGGTTAAATGATTTCTTTCAGGTTTCTGTGGAGGGGGGGGGGGTTTATTGGGCTCTTTAAAAGACAGTTAAACTGGAAGATGGAGAAAAACAATAATGGTGACTAAGGCTACCACCAAGGAAGGAAGGAAGGAAGGAAAATAGATAGATAGATAGATAGATAGATAGATAGATAGATAGATAGATAGATAGATAGATAGATAGATAGATAGATAGATAGATAGATGTCAGTAACTTCTCCAAGGTGATATTAATTGGTAGTCAACTTTTGCACATCCATAACTTCAGATTTGCACTCACCGTCACTTTTCCATCCTCCACGGGTGAACTGTTGTCAGAAATAGGAAACTTCTTTAAAGAGGAAACATTAAAATCCTTTTAAGGTGTCATTCCAAACAGTCCATCAGGAAAAACCCAGCGAGACCAGTGTGGTGACCGCCTCTCCCTGCGTTTGGAGCGCTTCTGTTCCTGCGTTTCCTGTTCCTGGGTAACAAGTGAGCGCAGAGGTTTTAGAGCGTCTCCTAAAGTAGCTGGTGCTGTCAGGAAACAGGATGTCAGTTCGTTGGCATCTGAAAACTAATAGCTGAGATCACAGCTGGAAATTGGACTAATCAAGAAAACTCCTTGTTAGTAGGGTTCCTATGGAGAGCGCTTGATGGCACAGGAGTTAGTCTATAAAAGCATCTTCATTTTGGATACTTCTTATTCTATAGAGATAAAAAAAAAAAGCAAATTAAGCTGCAGAACAAGTCTCATAGTTCATCTCATTTTAAAAAGCATATGGTGTCATTCTCAGCCTGGAAGATATAGTTTTTTTGACAGTTGAGGAGAGTTTGATGACCAATTTAAACTTTACCTGTACTGCCCCCTCGTGGATAAAGGCTACACTTAACAGAACAGCGCACAACTTGTAATGTAAGAATTGTGCTTGATTTTAGTATTACGCAAACCCTTTAACCCTTCCCCCTGCCCCTCAGCAAGATCTAGAAGCACAAGATCTACATCCAGCCATTCAGCAAAGATACTGCTACATGGCTGTACATCTTACGGTATTTTGGCATTTGACCAATTGGATGAGCCCTTGAATGATATATTACCTACTGTAAATTAAGGTAAAAAGCTAAGTGAAAAGTTAATAAATAAAAGTAAAAAAGTTAATAAGCCTAGATAACAATTATATTTAGGTTTATAGACTAAAAAAAGTGTAAGTGCCAGTATCAGCATTAATGTCTCTAAGGTTATGTTGCACCAAAAAATGTTTCTTTCTTTCTCAGAGTATTTTTCATGAAATTCTTATAAAAGCACTTTTGTTATTTTTCTCAATATATTTGGGCAAGGTGGTGTTTCTTGTTATTACATTGACATTAACGTCATCTATATATTTTGAATGTTACAATGGTAATAAGGTCTTGTCCTGGATTCCAATAACACTATTGGCTTGAAATTTTAATTTTCAAAGCATTTCACTGAGTGCCCTATAAAGAGTTAAAGTCAGGTACTCTGGTCATTGGGTTACCCTGTTCCTTGCAATATAGAGAGCGACTTCTTTTGCTTTTATTAGAAATAAAAAAGTGTTTTATGTAGCACAGTATGCCTTAAAATAGAAAATGGACTGAAACATTCATTAGAAGCAAAACAAGTCAGTATTTTCTTAGGGACAAAACACCTTAAGAAAATTGATTCACATACAAAAAAAAAACTAAAACATGTACAAAGGAATATGGATTTGTTAATGCGAAAATGCTGTTTTTAAATTAGTCAAATTATAAGAAGGTTAAAATTTTTGTTCTGTTAGAAAATATACTTTGTATGCCTTTATATGTATGTCTCATATTGCATACCAGTGATACTTTCCTATTTACTGATCGGCATAAAGCGAATAGTTGATGCTTTTCTATATCATCTGTTTCACATCCGTTGATAATCTTATTAATACTATTATATCATATTACAGAAAAATAAACAGATGCTAAATACTGAGAAATGAAGAGATTGTAGTGAGACCAAAAAAAAACAGAACAGAGGAAGTCTTAATTCTATGAAGACTTCTGGCTCCATGCTCTGGACATTTTGTGTAATAACATTATGTGGACAGGAACACTTAGTTTCATTGGTCTTATGTCATTGTTCCTATGCAAAAATGTAAACCCTCAATGAGGCCCATTTCTTGCAACATTTATACAAATTTTGTAAGTACTACACACACTATGCTGTTTATCAATGTTTTTTTTAGCAATGTTGTATCACAACACACATAGCAGATGTTAAGGCGCCATCTTGTTATAGTCTAACAAATAACATCAGCTATTTATACCTGAACTGCCTCAAAGGGTCGTAAAAAAATGAAAACAGTAACAATGAAGTATTGATTAAATGGAAACTCTCAGATTTTCTTTTTCATTCAGCTGTGGCTAAGAATCAGATTTTTTGATAGCTTACAGTCTTTGCTTGTCTATTTTTCCAGCAGTTTTCAGAACTCCTGTCGGACTCAGAATATTTAGTTTTGTAATAGATAAAAAGGTTTTTTTGTTGATAAAATGTATTATACTTCAGAATTAAATATTATTTTGAGATGGAACAGAGAAGGTGGAGAGTGGAGTTAAACAGCACAGCACAGTTACTGACTTAAAGGGACAGGAAAGACCAGGCAGGCACACAGACGGAGCAGCAGCAGCTACCAGGCAGCAAAGCTGCAAGAAGAAAAGAAGCGACTGCTGCAATAATGCTGTATTGTAAATTATAAACATGGTATTCACATTGAATTATTAGTAGGGACAAGTACGTCAGTCCAAAATTTTGTTAGGGACGTGTCCCTATGGTCCTTATGCAAACCTATGCCCATGATTTAAACTGTAACTTCATTCAATTCAATTCAATTCGAAAATACTCTAATAATGCCAAGGCAAATTGAATTAACTGTGAATCCATTCTTCAAAAATAAATATTTATCATAATGCACCTTAAAAAGTAGTTTAGACTACTGGTCACAAGACAATCAGATATATTCCAGAATGCTTTGCAAGAGCTGTCCTTGCAAAGTGTCCCAGGATTTGTCTTGTACTTTTAGGAGTAGCATAGTTTAAATACACTTAAATAAACTAAAATGTGAACCACAAGCATATTAATTTTACACTTATTGTATACATATGAGTATACTGGCTGTATACTTGAATTATACGTTTGTAAAGTTAAGAATGTCTCGATTTGGATTGAAGTATTAAATTAGTATACTTTAAGGTACATGGTCTGTAATATAATTGCTATAGTTTAACTTCAAGCATACACTTACCCAGAATGCAATGCAGCATAAACAATATGGTGATATTTTGTTTATAATAATTAAAACTAAACAGTTTACAGCATTTTTTCTGTATTATATGAAAAAATACATATTTATCCAGCAAAGTCTGTTGTTACTACTTATCATGGACCTTATAAGGCAGTGCTGATAGTAAATGTACATCCACGCAAATCTTAGATATGTTTTCCTAATAGAGTGTCTAATAAATGGATAGAAACTGCCCGATTTTGTAAGTCAATGTATAAAGAACTACAAGTGTAACTTTTTACATCAATAAATCTGTAAATTTCTTCTTAAACTTTTCTTTAAAATCGAATAAGGGCTAGAAAACAAATGCAATCATGACTTTCCTACACAATTTTGCTGCCTTAAATAAATCTGTTGTGTAGCAAAAACAGAACATTTCATTTAGCGTTTTCAATCAAAGTCCTTTGGATTTATGGTACAGTAACAGACAGGGGCAAATCTAGGATCAGAGGTTTAGGGGTGCTGAGCACCCAGGGAGCTTCTCTGGCCATGTCAGACTCAGAACAATAGGATGCAGTATTTCAGGCGCACAAACAGATTTCTCAAAACGTTTATTGGAAACAGAACCGAAGTGAGCAGGGTCGGTGTCCAAGGCAGGAACTGCTGCAGGAGGAGACAACAGGTAAGCGACCACATCTTTCTGGAAGTAAATGATAACGAACGTGCGAGTCACTAACCTAGTCACATAGTTCAGAGGGTGAGGTTAGTTCCAGCAAACGCGATGCAGCGGTTGCCTCACAGAGAGTCTGTATCAGTGGTTGGAGGACAGGTAGGAGAGCAAAACCAAGCAGACAAAGGTAGGCAAATCAGGATATCCAGAGGGTGAAGCTGAAGCCGCTGTCAGTGACCTGCTCGGTTGTCAGAACCAGGAGGTTAGAGATGCAGTGAGGTGCTGAAGGACATTCCAGAATGGAGTCGGGTAACAGTTCGAGGTATAGTGCACAGACGGGCAGAGACATGGCAGGAAGCAGAGGACATGGGGTAGTGGCATCCTAATGGTTATGGCATTGTGCTTGGAATCCTTAGGTTTTGAGGGAGCCTCACTCCCAGAGATTGCCACTCTGGGTCCCTGAGCAAAGACCCTTAACCCCACACTGCTTTCCTGGTGCTGCACAATGGCAGTCCATTGCTCCCCAAAGGGATGAGTTCAATCAGGCATCCCTAAAGTCGGTCCTCCAAGGCCGCTGTCCTGCAGGATTTAGAGGTTTCTCTGCTTTAACCCCTCCCATCAACACAGCTGGACACTCATCCACATTCCAGGCGAGGCGCTGTACATCTCAAACGCACATTTACTATCTCATGGGGAAACGTTAATCAACGTAACACCTGTTATTTCATTTTTTGACCGAAAAAAATGAGGTTATAAAGAGTAGATCTGATAATTGCATTTTACAGACGAAGATCCAACCTTTTTGGTTGATTATTTGAAATTACAGTTATGAATAAAAAAATAAATTCCTGCTGATAGGTGATATATATATATATATATATATATATATATATATATATATATATATATATATATATATATATATATATCTTTTTTTCCCTTCTTGAACAAAGGGGACATTATAATGATAAGCTCTACAGAATAATCCTTTAATAAACCCCTTTGCCCCCAGTTTCCTTATTTAAATTTATCCTTTGGGATTAAACCCTGAATTTACTTCAGAAAATTACTTGAAAATAGCCTATAACATGACATCGAACCAGAAACTCTCCCCCCCTTCCACGCGGATTCCTGAAGCCAGCAGGGGGTGCTGTTCCTACCGCTTGGTTTAGAAAAGGGGTCTGATATCCATACATTTCTTGAACGTTAACAATGTAAGAGTTCCACCAAAGGACAGTTAAGGCACAGACGATCCAAGAGGTTCCCAGAATGGCGCAACAGGTAGGAAAATTGACGCGTTTAAACTTTGACTTTGAAGCCTTGCTGAATTTCTGCTAGTTTCATTTTATTATTGTTTTCTTTCCAGCAAAACAACAAAGAAGGAACAGCACTGATTCAAAAGCGCAATTCCAACTCGAGAGGTTCATTGATCGCGGCTTCTTTTAATTTCATCAACTCCATAATAGGATCTGGAATAATAGGTGAATATGCTACCCATTTAAGTTGAGTGTTTTAGAAATAATAAAACGTTTTTTCTTCCTAAAGCTGTGATGTCTCAGTTAAACAAAAGTAAAACCTGCTTATTTTTTCACAATAAAGAGATGTTTTAATCCAAGCCCGGCAGCAACATCATATGACTTGCGCATGTTCCCCCGCTCTATTTTTATTTGCTCTTTTGGTCCTGAAAAAAAAAAAAAAAAAGATTTTTTTCAATGTATTATTAAACAGTTATTTCACAACTTATCCAGGGAACCAATTCTGAATAGCAAAACCTTCTAATATTTGGTAGAAATATAAGCCCCCAGATAAACTCTAAAATTGAACAAATGTTTCTTGAACTTGTAGAGCATGCAAAGAGAGAACTGCTTTGTTACCTTTTTAGCTTTAGAAAACCTTTTTTTTTTCAAATAGTGAAAATATAATAAAACATGCAAAGGGTCAAACTCTTAGTGTGCACTACAAGGTGGAGTGTGCATGTGAATTGGAAGAAAAATTCATGATTCATGGTACACATTTTTTTTTTTACATAAAAATGGGTAAAGTGTATTTCATTTTTGTATTTAGCCTATCTAACTAAAAATTGTTAGTTTAAAAAAATAAAGCTAAGTCAGTTTGGATGGGAAATTGAACCTTTTTGTAAAAGGTAGCTAAAGGTTATTAAATAGGATTTATGGTATTCCTGGAATTAACATAAAATCATTTCTTGACACCTTCCATCAGTTATCCTGCTAGAAGGTGGATGTTAACCCAACTGTAAATACATAACACAAATACAAAATATGTATCTAGGTTGGACTATATTCACAAATGTCTTACCAAAAGGATGGTTTGTACATTTCTTCCATATATTATTGTGGCTTTAAACAAACAACTAAAGTACTTTCACCTTATTTTTCTAAAGTCATGTCAATGTTTGTAGTTGTAACTAGGGCTGCAGCTAACGATTATTCTACAAATCGATTAGGATGGATAATGTTTTTTTAAATCGATTAATAATCGGATAGCCAAAGGTTCCTTGAAGATTGTTTTATAAAATTAAAGCAAGGGAAACAAAAACCTTTCCACTCGAGGGGCTCTGGATAGAGGAGATTAACAGGCAAAAACTTATTTTTTATCTTAAAGTCGAAATGTTTTTATATACGGTATATATATATATATATATATATATATATATATATATATATATATATATTTTTTTTTTTACAATTTTAAGATAATTACTGCTCTAAATGGCTCGCTCTGTAAGTTAAAGGCATGTAGTAGAGTCTCTGTACTCCAATTAACGATTAATTGATTACTAAATTAGTTGGCAATTATTTCAATAATTGATTAATCACGATCAGTCCGATTAATTGTTTCAGCCCTAGTTGTAACACAAAAGAAAAGATACAGTATAAACAATTCCAAGGGGTAATAGCATTTTTAATACGGTAGTTGGAAACATACAGTGACAAGCCTTATTTTGTTCACAAAGCTTGATGAATGTAATAGTTTATATAATAGCATCAGTCGTTATAAATATGATTGGAGAGCTTTTTAACTGCACATTGTATTTTCTCACCAGGTTTACCATATGCATTGAACCAAGCTGGGCTTCCTTTAGGTCTGATACTTTTGATTTTAGTTGGATTCATCACAGGTGAGAAACATGGAGATGGATAATCTGTTCAAAAATGTGAACAATGACAGTGAAATTATAAATTGGAGATCAAAGCTAATCTACTGTATTTTTGCTTTTATTTAATGACAGACTACTCAATTGTTCTACTTATTAAAGGAGGAAACCTCTCAGGATCAACCAGTTATCAATCATTGGTACAAAGCACATTTGGTTTTCCTGGATTTTTGATTTTATCGGCTCTACAGTTTCTGTACCCTTTCATAGGTACGTTTTAAAGGCACCTGAAAGAGAAACGATGCTGAAAGGTGTCCTGTTTATCTTTCTGTAGCTCTTCAGTTGTCATCATTGCAAGGTAGAAACATTACAGAAAAAATGATGCTGACATTAAAACACAGCTTTTTTTCTCCTTCAGCAATGATCAGCTATAATATAACAACTGGTGACACACTGACCAAAGTATTTCAGAGAATCCCGGGAGGTAGGTTACTGTCCTCTGGCACAGATGAGCAAAATACATTTGCAGAATTAATTTTGATTAATTCCCAAAAAATATGTAAACCATTTAGAGAAAAGTAATAAATCTTTGATCATATGTTTGTAGTTGGTCCAGATCACATTCTTGCAGAGCGCCACTTTGTGATCTTGCTTATTACCTTTATGTTCACCTTTCCTCTATCACTTTATCGAAACATTGAAAGACTTGGAAAGGTACAAATATCCCTACAAATCCCTAACATTGTATTTCTATGATTATCTCCCTGCTGATATTCTGTGTGTTACCAGGTGTCCTTCCTCTCAACGGTGCTAACACTTACCATCCTCATTGTCGTCATGATCCGAGCAGCTACCCTTGGAGAGCATATGTATGACTCTCCTACTGATAGCTTAAATATTTTAAATAAGCAATAATTTTTAAAAAAACAGATGTCATATTTGCATTTCACTTGATTACACCAACAAAGAAATCATTTTCTAGTGTGCCTACAGAAAACGCATGGGCCTTTGCAAAGGGTAATGCCATACAGGCAGTTGGTGTAATGTCTTTTGGTGAGTTTTTATAGATCCAAATACTAATAGTGACATAGATGATGATGTTAAAGTATTACAGACAAAACTATTAACCAACAAAACAGTCAAAAATATTGGTAAAGTGTGATTTCTATTTAAAAAACAGATTTAGAAATAATGTCTGTGTCTTCTTGACTGAGAAGTATTGTAGCTTCTAAATCAAATGATGCATTATTTGCTGTCCAAAAGTGCAGCAAAGAGACTTGATATAAGTGATCTGAGTGCAGAAATGAAAACCGTAATATGTTTGAGAGAGGAATCACTAAGTACCTTGCCTATTTCACTGGTAGACCCGGGAGAGCCAGTCCAACACAGGACAACAGAGACATACAGAGCAAATACAAACTCACTATTAAGGGCAATAAAAAGACACAAGTTAACTTTTCAGGTTTGTGTTTTTTGGAAAAATGCCAGAGTACCCAGAAATGTCCGTGCCTGTTTAGAGAGCATGCAAACTTCATGCAGCATGATCCCCTTAGAAATTCTGGACCTTTTCTGCTGCATGATGCATTGCAAGCAGCTTCTGTGCATCTCCCTCTAATTTTACTTCCTAATATTTCAGCAATTATTTGCTGGCATCTAGTTTAACATTAGCACACATTTGTTTTCAGTGGAGGTCAGTGTACATAGAATACTCTCTAATACAACTTTAAAAATAATGTGCTTGTAACTGAAACATGAGATAAATAACAGAGGAGAGAAACAAATAAATGAAATCTAAAGGTACAAAAAGGTACAGTTCATTAAAATGTCTGAAATTCAGAGATTACTATCACAGGGAGATGAGGTTAATCAATAAATCAAACTCTTTCATTTTCAAAGGAAAAATTGAGGTATTCAGATTTTGATATTATTAAACAATTCCCAACACAAACAGTTGTTCTAGTAATGATTAACAAAAGCTATTTTCCTTTCAGTTTTGAACAGTTAATGTGTTATCCAGAGTTGTTTCGTTCTGTAAAAATATGTTTCTATAATGTTCCTTTTAACCTCTATCAGTAGTACTGTATACTCATTTGATTATAGTAATAGTATTTTCAAGTGTATTCAAACTCTTTTTGTGATTAATGTCTGATAGCAGTTGTGCATCATCTTCAAATCCACTTAGACAAATATACCTTCTGTCAAAGAACTTGCAGACAGATATGTTTTGAAACAATGTCAGCAACATCTTGCTAAATATTTTACCCAAACTACAGTAGCAGCCATTCAAAATGGCCCTTCCCAGCCAAACGCCAGTCCAATGGAAGCCCACTTCCCTGCAACTCCCAACAAAATCCCCTCCAACTTCCAGCCTCTGGAGTGACCCCTCCACCTCCTGGGCGTGCATATTTTTTTACTCTGACTCCAACCTTTCACTGAAATACAGGGTCTGACCACAAATCATGACAGAAAGAATATTTTAGTACTAAGACTGATGTTTAAAAATGAATTTTTGTGGACCAGCCAAGAGCCCATCAAGGAAAGTTGGTACATTTTGAATGGCTACTACTGTGTAATAGGACAAACATCCAGGTTTGTCAGTATTTAAACCTTTAAAGAAGTTTATAATGGCCTCCCTGTGTGTCTCTTTAGCCTTCATATGCCACCACAACAGTTTTCTGATCTACAACTCTCTGGATCAGCCCACGTTATCCAGCTGGTCCAGGGTCACCCACATTTCTGTGGGCTCTTCTCTGATAATCAGTGCTACATTTGCTGTTGCAGGCTACACAACCTTCACTGGCTACACTCAAGGTATCGATGTAACCTAAACAGCTGGAAAGGCCTTAACTGATTCTTTTTATAATTACTGACTTATCGGATTCTGATGGTTTCTTGAATTTGTTTTGCTTTTTAGGAGACATATTTGAGAACTACTGCAGAAATGATAACCTTGCAACATTTGGTCGGTTCTGTTTTGGCTTTAGTATAATCACCACCTTTCCACTTGAGTGTTTTGTTACCCGAGAGGTAAGTCATTTAGAAAGGCCAGGCTACGGATTTAGTTGTGAAAATCTTACATAAATTAATAAATATGGGTATTCTGAATTAGAATTTTTGCAGAGCTTCTCAGTCAAAATCAGTTTATTCCTGTTCTGTGTCAGGATTTTCCCAAATGTCTCCTAAGATTGTTTTTTTCTGTTTTTCCCCAGGTGATATCCAATGTCATTTGTAGTCGTCTTCTTTCCAAAGCTGAGCATGTAGCCATAACTCTACTCATAGTTGCAGTGTGCACAGCCTTATCCCTGGCTTATGACTGCCTTGGAATGGTTTTAGAGTTAAATGTGAGTCACACCCGCCTAAACAGGCTGAATCTGTTTGCCTAAGATTGTTTAGCTATATGCCAGTTATGTGTTTACGTAAAAGTGTCTTGTCTTTTTTCTTCTTTTTAGGGAGCGCTAAGTGCCACACCTCTGATCTTCATCATTCCATCTGCTTGCTACCTAAAGATCTCTCCAGGCAGCTGGTTCCAGAGTGACAAAATGATCCCTACTCTGCTGATAATAATAGGCCTGGTCGTCATGATCATTGGCCTGATCATGACTGGTGTCTTCCCTCAGGACTGTTCACACGGTGTGGAGATGTTCTACTGTACAGATGTCAACATCTCTGGCACTGTCCCACCCAAATGACAGAAAACGACCTCAGATATTTCATTGTCTTAATGTTACAATGAGTGTATACAGACAAATGGCGACTGTATTTTTTTGTTAACACATGTAACCTTATTATTTTTGGAGAGTACGCCAAGGTGGGTTGTGGGATACCGGCTGCTTTGTGGTTCTAATAATATATTATCTCACAATATAATTCATATAATTAATTTTAAATCTGTAAATAATCTTAAAGATAATTAGCTTATATATGAATAAAAAGTTGTGCTTTTATTTTAATGTCTGTGCCTTTTTAGCCTTTATATGCTATATTGTATTTTCAAAGAACAAAGAGGTTTTTAACTTTTTCTTTTTAATTTTCTGAATAATACAATTTCTATGTAACACCACTGATTAAACAAAGATTATACACTACTAGGGCATGTTCAAGTATCTTGTATGGTTAGTTTCTAAATTATCCCAGGTTTAGAGTGTGATTATACCCAACATTTTATTTCTAAGACACATTCATTTTATGCCATAATTTCATTATAACTTTGATTTTTGCAACATTATTTTAGTAACATTCATTTATATATCTCAACTTCAATGCATATAAAGAGGAATCCTATTGTTACCACAATTTTATTAAAAGATGTAACAGTATATTCTAATCATATTTTAAGCTTCTCTGGTTTTTACAACTATATATTATAAGCATCTTGGAGAGCTGAACTCCTTGGTAAGGTTCCAAAGATTCAGTTAGAGTGCAGAGCATGTATGTTTTTAAAGTTTTTATAAACTTTTTCTTAAAAGAAATATTTTTTCTGTGTTATATTTGACTATTTCTTTTTTTGTTTAAGTTAAAGAATTCAAGGTAGAAAACTTACCAGACAAAGAATAAGGAGTAATCATTAGCTTCAACAGTTATTTGATGTATTAAAGAAAAATAAGCAATGACCAAATCTATTTATTGATTTTAGTTCATAATTTTTGTTAAATAATTCCTGAGCAACAACAAACAAAACAAAAAAGGGTGCTTAGTAACTTAGCCTGCTTCAGTAAATTTATAAGAAACATAAAGCTAAGTTAGCATGTGTTATCAGTATCACATAAATGTAAATTGCATTTTTCATTAAAAATACAACAAAATATTTTTTATGTAGGCATATTATTGATGCATTTGGACATTTTCCATAATGTATATAAATATAAAAATATATTGATATTATTTTGATTGGAACGCTTTTTGTTTATTCAAGAGACAGGAGCAAAGTTGTGCAAACATTTTTTTACTTTATTGAAAACAAAAATTATATGATAAATAATAATGCAGTTATTAAGCTCAGACAGAGCGGATTGTGTAACATATGCTACATCTCACCACAAGGTGGCACCATAGAGAAAGGAAAAACATTCAGAAATAATCATAAACAAGCCACGCTGGTATATTTTCAAACAACTACAGTTTAATTCAAGGTCGATGAGTTAACTTAACGGAATAAATTTGAATAATTTATTACATTCTTTTAACGGTTTAATGTAAGAAGTTAGACTAAGTATATAAAACGTAAAGGCTCCTTTGGGAAATGTGACGAATGGAGAACCGCCCCGCTTTTACAGTCTGTGATGCAGCTCCAGATTAAAGTTGGCACAGTCCTGGTGGCCAAAGTGTGAACGCAGAGAAATAAACCTTCACAAAAGAGCTTCAATTAACGCCGGAACATAACGTCCACGTTAGAAGAAGCCATTATTTAAAAGCGGGATGATGTTTTCCTATTAAATCTACAGGAGCCCGGATTTCTTCCTCCTTAGAACCAATGAAAGTTGCCATCTGCTTTGAAAACCAGCTGGACTAATGGTAAGGCACGATATGGACAGTATTGTGTTTTGTTTTTTTCACTGCTGAAACAGTTAACAAAACTGGTGACCTCAGAAGGGGGATTCGCCCACCTTTTGGTATTTTGTCGCAAGAAAATACCAGCGCATGATAGTATGACAGCTCTCACTAAAGATGAACTGTGTTTTCTGTTTGTGTTTAAAATGTCCCAAGGATTTGGTCAGGCCGATGAGTTTAGTCTTGGATGATCGTGGATCTCAGCCGCGTGCGCGCAGCGCTTCTTTGAGGTAAGTAAGATAACTTTAGAGAAACGACTTTTTAAAAATGTTTACAGTGCGACTAAAGTGGATTATTTACAGTAAGAAACGTATTTTTTAAATAAATAATATTATATTTTGAGATTCATTCTTTTTGTGATCAAGTAACGCGTCACCTGTGCGCACAACCAGATGTTTTCCCAGCTGTTTCGACGAATGAGCACAATCGCACCTTTGTCACCTGATTTAACCAGCTTTTAACTTACATTCCTGTCACTATATGCAATCCCAGTTGCTGCAGAATTTCAACTGCCCCAAACGCTCCTCATTTCCTGCTAATATTGTTGTTGTTATTGTTTTTTTTTTTCTGTTGAGAAATTCCCTCGACCACATGCAGAGGTCATGGGAACTATTTTGCAAGCTAAACATACAGCCTCCCCTGTCACTGTGCTGAGCCTGATGGTTGCTGAGGAAGTCAGGCATCCACTGGGGCTTCAGCGGATATTGTATGATACAAAATTACCCCACTAACACACACACTCACACACACACACACAGAGATGGTGCTGGTGAAGTGCTTGGTGTGACTTGATGGAATTTCCCATCAGTCCTGGTCCATATAAAGTCAAAGGTGATGTCAGCTGCTTGTATTTCTGTGGTTGGAATCATTAAAACGTGGAAAGTGAGTTTCCAGAGCTTTTTCACCTTCTGGCTGCTTTAACGGTTAATGCAATCTGGGGCACTGGTTGAGATTTTAACATAGAATACAAAGTGACAGTCTGGAGTAAGCGCTTAAACTTTCCACTTCTGCATAAATAATGTCAGTTTGCACAAGAAAAAAAAAAATCACTCTCTTATTATGATCTTACACTTTCATCATTTTGTCAAGTTACTACCGCAAATCTCAGTGCATGACATTAGGATGTCGTATTAAAAAAAAAAAAAAAAAACAGAGCCGCCAGCCATGTTTGGGGTCATTGTTTGCCTGGAAGGTGAACCTCCACCCTCTCAACAAGTTTAATGGTGTCGGATTTTGTTTTATTTAGTTCCATCCCTTTCCCCAATAACTCTGCAAAGCATTTGTGTCAAAACCATTCTAACGGCCCAATGCTGCCACCACCGTGCTTTGCTTTTGGAATAGCTGGCTCAGGGTTATGCGTGATAGTTGTATCACACCACACAACATGCTTTGAATTTATGCAAATCTACTCCACTATGCCACCACAGTATTCTCTTTAAAAAACGTACATAGGACTGGGCGATACGGCATACAAATCTAATCTACGATATTTTTATGATTACAAATCCTTAAATCCCTTATTTAAAAAAAAAAAACATGAACTATAGAAAAAGCTCAAACTCAAACAAACGAAAATTCCTCATCAATGATCTGGCCCCGATAGCTGAGCTGAGCCGAATATAAAGCAGCAGGAGCAGGTGGATAAGAGGAATGATAATTTGTAACCGGGGAGGGTTAGGCAGGTGAGTGAAGTGAGTAATTACAGTAGGTCAGCTATCAGGGCACTGATCATGACCACAGGCTTCTTTTAAAATTTAATTTCTTTTTGCCACTACTCCATAGAGACAAAATTTATGGATACATTTTCCAATATCTTGTAAATCAGTTCTCCCCAAATAAAATTTAGATCACTGCAGCTCCTCCAACGCCAACATGGTCGTATTAGCTATTTCTTTGCATATAGCTCACCTTGCTCATATTTTCTGTTTTTTGATTACGAATTCAGCAGTGCTTCTTGATTTAAAGATATTTACTGTTTCGCTGACTTATCATGTGTGCTGCTTAGTTTTTATTATGCAGTCCTTTCACTCCCCTTTAAAGTTTCTACGCCTTCACAGAACATGTCAACAATCAGAGCTGAACTTTTATTTTTATATACAGTATAATAGAAATTAATCAAATGCTATTTTTAAATAGTAGAGACACAACTTTTGGTCTTCTTACAGTTAACATACTAGTTTTCTCACTGCAGCATTCAGATTCCACTGCCAGGTTGATAGGTAGGGTACACAGCATTACTAATACCGATACTAGATATAGCTTTTCTATTAATAATCTTTTTGTTATAGTGGAGGATAGTTTTACAATGTATGTACGACAATCACCATTGTTCAGTTTTCCAATTTGGTAATATAAGCTGTTGGCAGTTGTTACACATGTCTACTGATTAAATTTGGTGTAAATTCTTTTCATACTAATGAAAAAACTAACAAGTAAACACTATCAGAGGTTGTTCTTGTTTTTTTTTGGTGTTTTCTTTTTTAAATAGTCATGCTAAATAAATGAATATGGCCCCTTAAAGTCTGTCTCAATACTGGCGACTTTGCCACATAAAAGTCTATGACTAACTTGCTGTTTCCATTGCTGCAACTTGCTTTATTGGTCCCTCTTCACCTGTAGAAGTGACATGGCATTTTCTTGGTTGAGTTTTGCTCCTCATTTTTTTTGTGTCCTCTTCTTTATCTACCTCTCTTATATAAATAAAATTTGTCAGGAAAATTCCTTGCAGAAGCACCTGCTTATTTGCTGAGCATTAGCTATTCTTTGTGGTGTAAAGATTATCTTCATCCTAAAACTTATTGATGCAATAAAAGCTAAAAAAGTAAAGATTAGATGTTAAAAAAAACAAACGTGGGGAAAAATCGGGTAGGTACATTTTGGGCAAATTATTGGGCTACTTTGGATACATGGCTTCTACTTTACAGTTGGCATGCTGATTCGGTTTTGGTATTTTTTTCCTAGGTTTAATTCTTAATTCAAGTTAGTAAATTTTTTTCAAATTTAAGTTTTACAAGAATGTTATTTTTTTCTCTCAACTGATATTAGCTTCTAAACACTACAGGTTTTCTGTCTCAGGTTTTTGGCAACAGTCTGACAGTAAAATAGTTCAGGTGGTGTGAATTCATTTGCAAGGTACTGCATGTACATATTTTGCGACTAAACCTGCTACTTTTTTTCCTTTTCAAGTGCAGGCAAACGTAAAGATTGTCTGTGACCCCTGAAGCAATGCCTAATTTGTTATCCAAATACTGACCCTGCCAGAAGCTGTTGGCTGGCTGATTTAAGGCTGAGATATTTGCTAGCACACATGCAAGTATTATTTTCCTCCAGGCAGTCTTTGCAAGGTTGCAAAGTGGTGTTGTTTAAATACTTTTGGGATCTGTCTTTTTAATGTCCCAAAGAAAAATACCCTGCTTGCATGACACTTTTATAATAACACTCTCTGTTGCCAAAGAGAAGCATATTGGTTCAGTCCGCTGACAGTGTGCGGCTCCAAGCTGGC